CAACGTTTTGGGCCTGATGGTATTACAAACCTTTTTTTAAAAAAAGTGTTATGTTATCCACTAAGAGATAATCCCTATACTTAAGAAACCATCCTACGATAATAATGTGAAATTTAGACCCATAGCAATAACTTTACCTTTCCTCAAAACAATGGAAAAATTATTGATACTCCCACCTCAACTTGCAATAAAGGAGCACATTGATTCGTATAAGTTTACTTACGAATGCAAAAGAAGCACCCTAGATGCCGTTGCTGTTCTATATAACAATATAGTGTCTAGCTTGGAAAAGGGTAAGAAGTATGTTCGATACGCTCATCTGGGTTATACTTCATTTGATTCTATCTCAAGGCGACTTTTACTTAACTCAGTCAGCGTCAACACTGATAGCTGGATAACCGATTGTCTGTGTTCTTACCATTCTGGAAGAGAACAGTACACTGTCTCCTGAAGGTGGATAACAAGGAACTGTTCTTCCACTTCTTCTATTCTCTTTTTTCTTCATGATTTGTCGTCTTCCACAGAAAACACGTTTATCAAATATACAAACGATCTCGATATATGTATGCCGACTTCCACCTCGTTACGTCTTAGAAAGAACGGGAACAAAAAGAATAGAAACATAAAAAATGGGTAAGTTAGTTGATCGTAATATAAGATATAACATTTATAGATTTCGGTTGCAGTGGATGGCCATGTAAAGAAGTTAGAGTCCTATGCATTTACTGTCTCAAAAGATTATATGAATTGCTGTCTGCCTAGACACTATAGAAGCAAAGACCACCAAATACGTTGAGATTTTAATGTAATTTGGACGATTAAGATAACATAACCTTCTTAAACTGAATCCCGACTACGCTCCGTAGTAGATGTCATCTTGTCATTGGGCATTGAAATAGACAAAAGTCGTCTGTAATAGCTTGAACCCTTATCATAAACTACCTTGTTTATTATGAAGTCCTCTGATCGGTTTCATTCATCTGACCTTTTACCAGTTCAGTTATTGCCGATAGATCGTAGAAACCAGAATATAACAAACATCATAATTATTATAAATAGTTTGGGGCCGCCCATCATCAGTTAGTGGTGTGACAGATCACGACGTCATTATCCTTGTTTGTACAAAATAGTATGAAACAACGTTTTCACGAATTTCCTCTTTCAGAACTGACAAATCAGATCATTGTGTTTGCAACATATGCTTGGTTTAGTTATCTTTTAAAGTTGATTTCAAAGGCTTCGACAGTTTCTAAGTTGATGAAGGCCAAGCCTCTGGACAGTGTCATCATAATTTTCATGATTTTGGTTTCTTTCTCGGCTCCACTTTAAATGCAATCGTCTAGAGACAAGTCCAGACACATGCCGAAACCCTAGTCCATATGAACAAGTTACAAAAGTGTTTTTCAGGGAAATCATAAACCTAGTTATGATTCGGTCTATCACCTGATCATATTATGGTTAGAACAGTTTTAATGATTATTCAGAACTTCACAACACTCTTGTTACAATGTCTAATTCCTGGTTATTACATAAGTCCGAGAGGTAGCTAAACGGAGTTTAGGATTGATCTTGATCGGTTTAACCAACATATTGTTAAACAGTTTGGATGTGACCCACATTAGAGAGAGACAACGAAACGATCATGATACGTGGAGCCCACGGATACGTTTGCGTCATTGTGTATAGGTTTATGAAAAACGTGCTAAATCATAGGATTATTCGATGAGACTATGGTTTATGGACAACCTATGAGCAACTTTAAAAAAACTTTGAGAATATTCACCTACTTACTTGAGTTAAAGATTAGTACATGAAATCGTCGTTCGGATTAAGAGTTGGACGTTGGGGTTAGTAATCAGAGTTACTGTTTCACCACAAATTGACATCAGCTATGATTCCAAAATGCTATTTAGCCGCATGTATGGATGATTTTCGCGCCAAAACTGAAGACTTCCTACCTTATATTTCATCGACTCGCTTCGACGGTGAGATAAGCCAGATGGTGAGCGGGATATATCACACTTCGAGACACGAAGTTGAATAGGAGCGATTGGTCGTTCGAGGAATCTCTTTCGTGCCACTTAAGAATACTAGGAAACGTAGTATTCAGATTTTATTACCCTACTTCTAAATTACTAACCAGACTATCCCTCGTCGAGCTTAGTGTTCCATGAAATACTGAGAAGTTTTGCTTGTAGGAAAGACAAAGACAAGCTACTCACTGAATGGCCTATACACAATTATCAATATTAAAATGCCTTTTCGTTATGTAGGTGTCGCAGTAATAGTGAGACCCACGACCTATAAACTATTGACACGGTCTTAAAAACTACTTTCACTCAACAATTTTGTCGGTTCTCACCGACACAGCCGCAAACTCCGTATACGTAAAATGTTTTTAGACTTGCTTACGGATGATATGAATCTGTAGTGAATGGGCTAGACACGTGCAATATACGGATATCAGTAGATAATATTCATAGATCCTGTACTACCTCCCAATACTTGTGTATAAATCGTATTTTCACAGTTGAATTTACAAGTGGATTTAAGATAGACCACAATTGAAAACCTTGAAGCGCTGGAAGAATGAACGCTGTTCCATGAATCTATGATGCGTTCGAAAAATTAGGTAGTACCTAAATGGCAATTTCATCTATCGAAGCTACGTTACGATGGACAAACGTTAAAGATAACAAAATAGGACCCCTAATTATGAAACGTCAAAAAATCTTACACGTTGAACACCAATATAGTTGTAATATTCGCACGTCATTAGGCTTGCGTCTGGCGTAAATGGACGCCTAACAACTTTATAAGCTGTTTGAAATACATGTCTCAAACCTCAGCAGTTAATTTCAAAGTTTTACACTTGCAAAATCCAAGACTATTAGTAATACCGGAGAGTGGTTCAGTGAAATACTTCAATCCAAATGTACCCAGAAACAATGATGAACAATAGTTTTCGCGTAGAAAATCACATAAATTAAAGTCAACGTGTGGTATAAAACGAATGAATAAAATTAACAGTACAAGACTATGGAGATTCTTGAGCTTCATCAAAATCATGAACCGATCAATGTTATACCAATACTGAAAACCTCCAAGCACTGGACTGCCATTTCATCCTGGTATGAGACACTTTACCAGTGCGTATCCATGACTCCGCACACCGGAATCGAATACAGAACCATTTGTCTAGCGCGCAAACGCTCAACCTCTAGAACACTTAGTCGCCACCCAACGGTGTTAATGTGATTATAAATTGGATAAAATGTACCTTAACAATATTTACCCTCATCATGTATATAATTACTTCAACACTTGATAAAACCCAGCTGCAATGCCTTAAGCGATTAAAATAGTCAATAGAGTGAATGTTCCTACCGGGTAAAGGAACATCATTATAACAAAAGAAAAGGAACAGTGGTATAACGGGAGGAGAAGGCGAAGTCACTCCACAAGTGAGTGGTAAACTATAAAATGAGAATTACACAGATGTAAGGATTATACAAATAATTGCCTGTTATCAACAATCATTGAACCAAACAAACAGATAACAAGTTTCAGGGTTAACGATACAGAATTCAATCAATCCGTTCACACAAGAGCAACTGAAGGACAGTAAATTAATATGATGACGACCAAAAGGCAATATAGACATGGTAACCAAAATTCCTAACGAAGTCAAAGAGTTGAACACACAATGATAACAATAATTGCAAACAAACAAAGGATAAATAAAATATATTTAAACACACACAGAAAGAGAAGTGACGTTGATCGACTGGAGTTAGACAACACCGTTGGATGCCTGTTCAGCGGTATGTAGATTAAGCGCTCGCGCAAAGGCCCTAGGTTCGATTCCAGCGTGTGGGATTATTGAAGGGCATAAATGATGAGTTGCATACTAGGAAGAAACGCCCATACAGAGCTTGGTTTTCAATGGTGAACTGACTTAGATCAGCCCTTGATTTCAGAGAAGTAATGTTATGTGATGGAGAAGGTAACAAAGAAATTATACCCCAAGGAAATTATTTTTGAGATTTTCGAATATATGTAAACATATCTTACGACATCGACCGGTGAGAGGTAACTAAGGTGATTGAAATTTGACATGTAATAAGACTGTTCACTAGATAAAATGACGCCACTCACCCAAACACATAATCAACGGATTCTGCTACCAGCTCCAAACAACCCAGAAGCGGTTTGTCACAAGATAAGGTTTTTATACGTCTCGTTTATACTATCATGAGTGTAGCTTCACCAATTCCTTATTTTTATTTTATTTAGACACATAAGCATTGGTACAAGGAGGCACCAAATACATATGCGCCACAGTTCATCATTCACTTCGTATGAGGGCTGGGATACTGCCCAGATGCCTAAACCAAAGTAGGTAGTTTTCTTAATGGGCCGCTCCCTGAGCCTTCAACCTAAAGACCTAATCCGCAAGGCAGTGGAGCGACGTCAGGAGATGCAGTCCTATGGTAACCGGTTACCAACAATAGGTTAATACGCCACTTGTTCCCTCAGGATTCTGGAACCTATTTGCACCACTGGTTTGGAATCAGGCTTTTCCAACTGCTCTAGGTGGATATCCACCAACGCTGTTGAAGCACCGGACATTAGATTTCCGTCCTCTGAATTTCGTAAATAACACTCTGTGAGCGAGAAGGCAGTGAGTAGGAATTCCCTGACAGCGGTTGTATGCACGTGGTCATGTGAGAGAGCATTTGTAGAGGGAGAGCGGAATCTCCCCACTATTAGCCGTTACATAGCATTCGGGGGCTCACCGATCCCCAGTGGTATTCTAAATCCCAAATATATTTAAAACAATTAGTCTGGGTTAGTCTATAGACCCCTTTTAAATTCGGGAAGCAAATTTTTTTATGTCTGAAAACAGTCATATAAATATCCATGAATCCTACTATGAATGTATGAGCTGAGAGATGTAACCAAATGTATTACATAATGATAACCGATTAAAAAGTCGATTTGTCGTAAGAAACTGATTCAATTTAATTCTGATGACCAGTAATTGAAAGACAAACTTCTACAATGAATACGTTCATAACAAATGTACATTTCTTCTAAGATATTCATTTGCAATGTTGTTTTAATATTCTTAAAAGCAGCTCAAGGTTTATCAAAAAGAAGATATGCAGATATTTAAAGATGATATAGATCCTCATTCAGAAGAGTAGAAAAGTATTGTGAACACAAAAAAACAGATCAGAGTTCAAAAACTGTACAATCTATGGTTTACCATATTGAAAAAGGATGTTGGCATATCGTTTACAAGCTACACTTCACTATCTGAAGAACTATCATCATGTGATATAGAATTTTCAGAGTCATTTGATGATAACATGCTTTGTTTTTCTGGTAATAGACCTTCAAGATATTCCATGCGTTCATTGGTATCAGTTAAACAGAGACGTCGTGATTTCGCGCCTTTAAGCTTTGTACTTGGTAATTTTCGTTGACTTTTTGGTAATCGTAGTTCTGCAGTTTCATTTTCAGCATGTTCAATAAATTTAGATGTATTCCAAAATTTGATTGAAGAACTAGTTGGACATGTTGATGCAATTATATTCTCTGTTGGATGAACAGAAAGTGTCATACAATCTGCTCCACTAGTATCATTATTTGCTGTGTCTATATGATACCCAACACATCCAAGCAAACGATTTGGTAGAATATGCATAGCACTAGATTATAGAAGAAGAATTATATGAAAATTGCTTTATTTGAAAGCAACTGAGATACATGGAATAGATTGCAAGACTTTGTTAATCAATCACTTATAAGGAACATAGAAACTGTCACATAAGCATCGGTACGTGTTGCGTCACATCAGCACAGCTGATGAGTACTAGAGTGACAAAAGTAATAGTATCAGTGGTGATAAAAAGGATCATATATAAACTACGTGATCCAAGAAAAGATAAAAGATACGTGGAATGAAAGGTGAACAACAATTTTGAAACAAAGGTAGAGGTAAATAGGGTGAATGGTCCTGGGCTGTCACTTAACGTCGCTCTAGCCAATAGTCACGATAATTGTGAAATTATAGATTGGTGTCAGGAATTATAATTAAGATTGAAAATTGAAGTTAGGGTTTTCATCACGGACTGACATAAACCATAATGGCAAAATGCTATTTAACCATATGGATAAATGGATTCCGTGCCGAAATTGAAGGATTATCATCCTTAGTTTCATTGGTTCGTCCACACATTATAGTCCTGCTGTTTTTTTATCTAACATCAAGCATCAAGATAGTCAGTGGTTGGATATATCCAATATATGTTTTAACCACCCCAATAATTGAGGATCAATAATCTTATTAAATGATTTGTTAACTATGGCTGTTAATCTAAAACTAATCCAAACATTACTTTCCAGTGGCTTCAACACACGCGGTCAATTCACTGAAGAAACCTATTATCAAATACTAGTAACTTATGAATATCGTCTGCAGGAAGTGTAGATGTTTGCTCTTTTCCAAAAACGTGTCGTCAATATGTATTTATAAGTAATAACTAATCGTCTTTCTATGAATATGGCGATCCTTAGTGTGTAGCTCTTCTTTTATCTCTTGAGATTACACATTCAAATGGTTGAAAGAGAAGGAAGAAACGGTACTGGATGGTTGAAGATAATCCCTCGGGATATAATTAAAAGTACACTTTTCACCAACAACTTGTTCAGTTGTGTTTTATTGAAGACAGTCACTTTAACACATTCATACATACAAAGAAACAAAATCTCACCTTACAACTCCATCATCGGTGGCTACTGCAACAATATCTTCTGTAATTTTGACTATTTTCTCTACAGAAATTCCACCGGAAACAGCTGTTCTAGCCTGACCTTGTTTAGATGGTCGAAGAGGATGTATAGGAAAACGATCGCATATATTTCCGAATTCATTCCAACTGAATACAGAAATCACGCCTTCATCTGTACCAACAAGAACTTTTGTATTATTCTAGAGGTATAAATAAGGCAAACATTCCAAATCTAGAAACTGGCAAATATAATGAACATTGTATGATTGTGGGTAAGTTATACGTAGTGTAGAATATGACAAAATACTGGAGATCCGCTTGCTCACGATTAAATCCCATTATCACTTCTTCATATTCCTTTTATCACCAATATCAAACCCATTTCCTTAGACTGTATCCCCATGCATCAATAATGGTTGTGAGTCATTGAAGCGCACTGTTGGAGAGCCTCATACCACGATGGGACAACTATGCAAAGAAACCCCGACTAAAATCAATAGGTAATGAATAAAACATACAGAATAGACCAATCTCAAAAAACTACAATATATAGATCATTGGTGACTTGCTTTAAAATGTTCCTGAAGTTTTAGTAAAATGTCATGACCGGTGTCTAGAGATACCTGTAGTGAAACAGTTATCACTATTTAGTATTAAATGATAGTTTTGCTATAATGAAAATTGGTATGAAGTTGAAATTGTTCCACAGGACCCAAAAAACTAAGCAGCTCTAATGGCTAAATATTCATTGTTAGACCTGAAGAGCAACCAAATGCCCTGGTATGGCCGAGAATGGGGAGAGTCCGCTTTCCTTCTCGAAATGCTTTCACATGGCCACGCTTATATAGCCTCTGCCATGGAAGTCCTACTCATTGCATTCTCGTGGCGGGGGTGTTGTTTACGAAATTGAGAGGATGAAAAGCCAATGTCCGGTGGGGGCTTTAGCCGGGTTGGTGGATATAGAAGATCCACACAGGGGGAGTTGGAAAACCCTGTTTCCAAACCAATGCTGCACATGGGCTCCAGGATCCTGAAGGAACAAAAGGAGTATGAACTTACTGTTGGTCACCGGCTACCATGCGACTGCACCTCCTGATGTTGCTCCACTGCCTTGTGGATTAGATGTTTAAGTTAAAGGCTTGGGAAGCGGCCCATTAAGAAGACTACCTACTTTGGTTCGGGCGCCCAGGCAATATTCTAGCCCTCAGGCAAACGAATAATGAAGTGTGACGCACATATATTTTTGGCCTACTTGTACCGATATTTATGTGTTTAAATAAATAAACTCCTTAATTACTGAGGTCACCACTCCATATTTCATACAACAGTAATTTTACAAATATTCTGTAATAATTACTTACTTTAACAACAGTTAAGGTACGTGCACTAAATCCAAGTGTTTCTGAAGACATTTCAAAACGCCGACGTCGTATATTATACACTGCTAAAGTTCCATCATCAACTGCGGCTAACAAAGTTCCATGAGAATCATTCGATGATATAGCCATTTCATTGATAGAATTGAAAAAATCATCAAATGTGTTTTCAATATCTGGAGTCATGACTGAAACTGGACCTGACTTCCTTGCATCCCACATCTAATAATAGACAAACAATACATGCATACATAGACACACATATATAAATATACTGGCTTTAATATTGTAAATCCATACATTATCAGTGCTACGACCTGTTTCATCTGAATATGGATGAACATGAGTGTGTGTGTGTGTGTACTGAAGCAATCATGTTACGACACAGCTTAATAAGTTTTGAGCAACATTTGTTGTTTGAAGGTTATGTACACAATCCACACTGGTTGAGCAACCCAATTTCTCGACTACTTTAGCTATAGGTGTTAGACGATTGGATGTAATTAACAAGAGTCTCTGAACATGTATATTGTGTCAATTGACACTTCCTAGAAAAATTTATTCGGAATGTTGACGGAGACTGATGATATATATATATATATATATATATATATATATATATATATATATATATATACTGAATGACACTGGTTTTAATCTCACGAAGGAGGTCGATTTGCCACAAAATTGAAGATGCACCTTGCTGACGAGTGTTAATCAGCACAAAATACATATTAAGGGTTTTCGATATTGTGCTCAATCACCTAATACCAAAGTAGAGTGTAATATAAAGTCAACTGGGTTAGTGCACACACTGAAACTTGGTCGGTAGAATTTGATCAGAAATACGGGGTGACGCCATAACATATTTTTGGCCCATTTACTATTCATATATTTGACTTAAAACCGCATGTTAACTCCCGGACCTCAATATTATTAACATAGTGTCGCTATGTTAGTCTCCAAACATTTTCAGTTCACACGGGTCAGGTTTAATAAGTGTAAAGTAGAAATAAGCTCGCCGACGCACTGTATTTTCAATGTTATGCAACTAAACGAACACTACAACGGTGCCAAAGATGGCCCAGATTGGCATAAGCTGCTCTAGCTCTGGCTGAGGTCGATCTCATCTGGCACGCCAGACCTCAGTAATTACTCAACTACTATTCAATTGGTTGTCTGAAGTGAAGTGTAGCGGGTTTCGAAACTGAGGACCACTTATCAGAGCATGATACTGATAATCATTAAGTGCTCAATTTGAAAATAACTTATCCATTGAATCAGTGTTCGCACAACACACATAGTTACAAACATTCTTTAGATTACTTGATTTGAAGTATTTACAGGTAACAAAAAATGGTATTTTTGAGGAAGTGATTAAAGAGTATCACTAATGACAAGTGCTGTTGAAGTATTAATGATATTTTCAAACAGCTAGTTGATGCTTAGTTAGTGTCTTGAGAATGACAAATTCGAACACGATCAACTCCCTGATTTTATCTTTTTCCTAAACTACAAGTAGTCCCGCAAACCTTCTAGAAAAATGTGGAAAACCAGGACAACTGAGAAAAAATTAGTAGAGGAACAAAATCAGGATTTGGACCTGAAATGTAATGACCAAAAGTCTGATACTATAACCAACAAAATTTTGAAACCATGAGCTACGGGCAAATTTTCAAATACTTAGTTGTAGATGCAAAGCCCGCTCCACATACTTCCATCAGATCAATCGGACGGTACTATTATCCCTTTGCAATATAGCTTAATAGCCAGTACGTGGATATTTTTAGATTTAATTTTAGTCGATTCATTCCCCAGGCACTTGGGTATGAGGCCCACTTTGAGTATGAGGTCTGATAATACTAGCAAGCTGTATAGACTAAAATAGGCAGAACAGTGCTCAAACCAGGGGCTTAGTGGTTAAAAATGGAACGTCTTAACTACTAAGTCTGTTTCACCCTGACACGAACCTGTAAGTGATTAATTGAGTAGCATAATAATAATTTATCATTATTATTATTGCCAAATATATTACCAAAGTTGACCATGACAAATGGTTAATCAATCGGCTGGTTGCAAAATTCTGAAACAAAATCCAATCCATCAAGTCATGTAAATAAAGTATACAAAAGATAACGAATTACTTTGATAACTCCATTTTCATCACCTGTAACCCACTGTCCATGTTCTAGAACCAAAACACTAGATATTGGTGATTTTTCATGAGCTTGAAAACACGCCCAAGTTTGTTTTTCAGAAATCACATCGTGTACTTTCAAGCCACTTTGACTGGAAGCCGAAATTAATAAATTTTGAGTTTTAGGGAAAAAAGACAAGCATCGAATAGTTTTATGCCAACGTTTCTGAAGTAACGCCTTTGTTCGGTCCATATAATCAAATCTAAAATACTGTTAAGAATTACAATAAAAATTAACTCACATGCGAATTCTTCCATTACATGTCCCGACTGCAAGTAGAACCTTATCACCAACAATCGTGAAGTCGGTACAACTGATGCCATCCAGACCAATCTTGAGATTCAGTTGATCAGAAGGATCCATCATAAATTATAATCAAGATGCCCGACACACCGAGAATAATATTTTTACAGCTTGTAGTTGAGATATAGAAAAAAATTGACTCCAGTTGAAGCCAATGGTAAATTAAGGAGCTTTAGTGAACCAACTCAGCACTGTTAGGATGTAAGTAAGCGATAACTCAAGTTAGACTTCATAAAATTATGTTTATTATTTCATATATGTAGTTTATATTTGCTCTACTAAGGAATATAGTTATTTCCCAGCATGCACTATTTATTATTTATTTATTTATTTAAACACATAAATATTGGTACAATGAAGCACCAGATAAATATGCGCCTCACAAATCTCATTCTACTTGTGTGAGGGCACTATCTGGTCGTAGATCCAACCAACGAAGATACAACAGTCTAAAAGGTAGAATAACACGACCGAATGCACGATATTGACAGAAATAGGCTAAGCGACTACGGCTAACTAAACTTACTTATTAAAGAGGTAATAGATTTTGAATCTGTCATTTTAAGATGATACAAGCAAACAAAAACGGTGTCTAAGATGAAATTGAATAGACAGGCTTTGATAACATCTCTCAGTCTGACTGAGGAAATCGCTATCGTTGAACTAGACTCTTTGTGGATAAACAAACTTTTAGCACACTAGATACATTGCAGTCAGTTAAACTCTTTGTTACTTACGGTTTACGCAACTAATTTGACCTAATTTAAGTCACACTAAGCTTTATCTTCCGAAAAACTACGAAAATAATTTACTGGTTTTTCTTAACAACGGCGAAACTGAAGTATGGGTCCAGGTTGTCACATTCCATATCACCGAAACAAGAAATCAACAGGACGAATATCTGGGCAATAAAAACAAAAGCCTTGGTCAGAGAAAAAAAGACTAAGCGAATGACATAGTGGAATAAAGGCAAAACTTGAAATTTAAATGGTTGGGTGTGAATATATGTCACTGACATGTATTTTGAAACATGGCTACACAGGCCTCTAAGCATTAATCGTGGTACTGTTTAGTTCTTATTTCAAGTGAAAACTAATCCATTTTGTTTGTGAATTTTTAAGTGTGGAAAACTAAGCACGTTAATCATAAGAAATAGTTATATGACAAGCCACATGTTTTGGTTGAGTTAAGAAATAGGTGATTACTAATATAAACTTGTTTGTGGGAAATCTAGGAACTAAAAGGTTAAGTGAATCCTTTTTATCGAGGACATCAGTCACAAGTATCTGAGAATTGTTATGAACATTGTCCCTGGCGGTTCAACTAGTCAGTCAGCTACAACATGGGATCAGGCACATATATACATTGGTCCAAGTTGACATTACCTTATTAGCACAACAAGATAAACACCAAATTCATAGAAGCAGCTACTTCAATGGTAGTAATATGTATATTTTTAAAAAGACTGCATATAAGGATATGATACAGGGAGAAAGAATTAGTTCGAAAGTTCAACTAACTGCAGAGTAACGACTGATAAAAGTCTCTAGGCTTTTCTTGAAGTAAATTTTCAGAATATTACATAGTTTCGATAAAAATATACTTTCGTAGTATGTTCTAAATGTATTTGCGCTCACCAGGACTATGGAGAAAAATCAAAGTCCTTGTTTTTGAATATGAATTGGACATACTAACAAAGATCCAGAGAAGTAGTAGCTAGAATCGTTAATATGCCTTTTGGTTTAGCTTGAGAAGAGTCGTTTTGCTTTATACTTTCTCCACTTTTAGGAAGGTTAATATATACTTTTGTGTGAGTGTTTTATATACTGAGAGATTTTGAAGTAGGTGTTTTTTCTACACTTAATACTAATAATCTGAGAGGATAATTTTCGCAAAACCCAAATCTGAACGTTGAACCCCTAAGGCCTGGTTGTCTTTTTTAGGGAGTTGCACACCAATTGAATCATTTACCAGGACAGAGCCTTATTTGTGTAAAATCAAAAAGATAGTACAATATTTAGTTGAACGCGTTTGTCAGAATAAACCGTAGGAGAAGCTGACAACCGAAAACATTAACTAGTTTTATAGGATAATGAAACAGGAAAATTGATTTTTAATGGAATTTCTTTTTTTGATAACGGTTAATCCGTTTTGACCACATGGGCTGATAAGAATCAGTGAACTTATATTTAGCAGGTATTTCAAATTTGTCCATATTCAGAAATATGGAGACTGTTAAGCATCCTTTAGTTAGTTACGAACCAAAGCGGATTTTAAGGGTAGTGTATATTGCAAATCTAGTAGAGTATGTAAGCCTAATTGTGAATTTTGAAATCACGTATTAAGACATATTTATTCGAAAACCTTACTAACTGCATTTATTACCCGCCATATTTTATTATGACTAAGTAGTCCACCAGTTTATTTAGATAGACATTTTCTCTGTTAATTTACTTTTCAAACCGGAAATCGTTTAACAACTTATTGACTTAAGTCAAATATGCATACGCTTGTCATGACAAGCGTAAAGAGACAAATATCTGGTAAGACTGCAGAACTCATTGAAAACAGTTAAGGGCAATTCGGATAAGCATGGAAACATACATGATAACTAGGAACTATGCTAAACACACTAAAAGACAGTTGAATATTGCACTTTGAGTGTTAGTATTTGCAAATAATAGACACTTTGCCAAGTAGTAACACTAAAAACATTTCACTTCAGATCTAATACAACGCCTTTGTGTCAATAAATCTGTATAACCTATTGAACATTGAATAAAAAGACTAAATTTTGTGACTATGGGCAAAATAAACTGTCGAAACCATGCCGCATCGCCAGTTTTAAATGAGCATCACGAAATCCGAAGGTCGCATGAAAGCAACTTGTTACTGTGGTAGATTTACGAAAATTTTAAAATACATTTTCTTGCTTTTAAAGCAGTCCCGAACACTGCAAAATACATCGTGTTTTACTGAAGGCTTATTTCAAGTCACGTTTATTTTTTGCTTGGACGAATTGGGGGAACTGTGTGTTATTTGGTGCCTGCATCCTGTTGATAGAAGATAGTTCTTTATTATGGGAAGGCATAGCAACTAATATATTCTCACTTGGTTCTCAGAGCGTTTGCTTAGCTAAATATTGCGATTTCCCATAAGCAGATTGGATGGAGATTTAAAACCATAAAACAGACTAATTACCCAAAAAGCCAGCTTCTAGTTGAGCATGTCCTTGTCCACGAACAACTAGGAAGTAGAGATCGTGGTACAGTCATATTTTAAAAGCTCCCTGAAGTATTTTGATCGTATCACTCCCTTGGCATTGACAAACAGATGCAACATGTAAATCCGATAATATCAGAGGTGTTTTCAGGCCAAGGTAGCAGCCGAAATACGAACTAACCCTATATATTTCTATAGACTCATGAATTAAGGAAAAGCTGCAATCCAGGGCACCCGTGATCCCAAAACGCCTGACAGTGAAAACTCTACCAACCAAAATGTGGCAGCGAACTCTAAAGCCAACCCAATCGACTAGTTAAACCGGTGGTCCACAAGCACGGAACACTTTTTAGCTCTCATGCCAGTTGAGATTCTAAGAAATTTCCAACAATCTCGAGGATCAGTATTAATGAGATTAAATTCGCAATACCCAGGAAAGTCACTAGAATTTGATGACATCCGCCCCATATCCCTAAAAGGCTGCTCGAAAGCTACCAGCACATTGGTATGTGAAATTTTCACGCACTTATTAAATTCATACCAACTACTCAGATAATTGAAATGGGTTACATTCTCTACAATCTTCACAGAAGGAAGACAGTGAAGACCTGGTCTTTGTCTTTTGCTAGCCACATTACTTTAAGGAAGTTAATGGGAGGACTGATCAGTGAACAAATGAAGGGTACATGGATTATAATAATGTCATCTTTAATGTCCAACATGGGTTTACGAAAGCCAGGTGTGTGCGTCCAGTCTCTCCATAACATGGAAGGGCTGAGCAACCTTCTGTGACCTAAATATACCAATCCATGAATTATTTCCCGATTTCTAAAAAGCTTTCGACACAGTTACACACGTGTTTCTCATAGCAAATGCTGTAAATATTAGTTTTACTAGCCCACTTCTGCCTTGACTACAAAACGACCCGGAGAACTGGATGTTCCGTACCAAAATTAATGCGGTGCACATGTGTTGGAGGGTATCAACTCCAAGAGTCTCACAAATAATGATCTTATATCCACTCCTCATCCTGAAGATCTGTTAGATACAGTAGGCTCAGATACACTAATCCATGCGGATGACGCAAAACCTGGAGGTTCATAACAAAGCAAAAAGCCCTTAAGCTTCAAAAGGACCTTACAACAGTGAAAAAATGGGAAGAATAAAATGAGTCAAAACTTGACCGCTTGAACTGTCATATCATGAACATTCTGCCTTATTCAACATAAAAAACTTGCGTCCGTCACGGAAATCTGCTCTTGACTGTCTCTTCACATTGAGATCTATGTCTAGTAGTCACATGGAGCGTAGCCACCAGTTCAATCCACATTCAGTATACAGACAAGACAAATATTACTCTCCTTTTTTTGCTAGGACAGCTTGGCTCAATTAGTAAAGTCGAGTGACTAGATTACCGACCATTGGGGGTTACCAAGTACCTGAAACAGCTTCGGAACAACAAAAAGCAAACGAAAAAGAATTAATTCATTTATTCAGGCCCTGACAAAGATATTTGATAGTGGATATCGACGTGCTATCTGCAACGATTGTGTAAGGCGAGTAAAGACCAGGAAGTTACCTAAGGGTGAAATCTAGAGTCCTTCTTATACCTCGAAAGAAAACGATCTAGTTAAACAAGTCTGGATTAAGAGTTATCTACGGGGTACAACTATCGGAAAAAGTCACTAGTATCCTTTACTCTGAACTATAAGGCAGCTTGAGGACCTATCTTGATTAAGAAAACTGTAAGTATTAGGAGGGTTGTGCACATATGAATCACATCGCAACCACCCACGGTATTGGATCTTTTATGATGCAGTGGATGAAACTTATCAAGAGAATGTCTAGTATCTACGAAATCTGCCAATCTAAGTTCTAAAGATATCAATCACACTTGGGCAGTTATTGTGTGATAACCATTTGATTTCTAGCTTTTTCAAACATATTCCTCCTACATTATGGTGAGGTCAGTAGGTGGAGAAAGAGCACTCTTCGACCATTAAAGGTACAAGATGAGTTCTTCTTAGGGAGGTGCCACAGACCAGCAAGGGATTCATTGATCAAATAAATTCACAGGACCATTTAAAATAGTGAGGATTGATTGTAATATCCGATCTATGTGCTCATTTTAAATGAGGTAATATCAGTCGTTCATTTAAAGTGCCCAGTATCCATTGTAACAATCGATCAGATCAAGGCATGGATGACTGGATATGTCACATTTCCTCTATCACTGTAATTTAAGATAAATGTCGTATTTCGTTCATCTTTATTAAATCACAGTTAACAACGTTCATTTTGCCTAAGTTTGCTTACTTTGTATCACATTTCTGTTTTAGGTTTTCTTATGGACATGAGCTAGATCGAACTCTTTAAGCTTTTTCGCCACCGAAGAATGGTAGTTAGCTGACTGTATTGTATAGTTACCTCGGGTTGTAAAAAAGAGGTACTTCATTATTTAAAAAGTTGTGTTGATTTTACATCATATAATGCAACTGCTTCATTTGAGGTTGGTTTCATTTGTGAGACTTAACACTAAAGGGTTGGATATTAGTCTTGCTCACCAATAATAATAATTTATTCTCAAATAACAGTTTGTTACATGAGGCATGCCGGTTTACAGGCAAGATCAAATTGTTACAGAAATTACAACTTTCACTGTAGAAAATTACTCAACTATGTTGATATTTTATAAGATATGAATGTAAATGGATTTCGTAAGAAACATGTCAATATCACACTTGGCGCACTTTATGAAGGTAGCATTGCAACATACAGCTGATGGTCGAGAATAGATACACGCGAAGTTGGGGGCTTTTAGAAGCTTCGACCTTATATCCCTCTGGAATATATGTAGCTTAAATAACGGTAAAAGACGAAGTCAACCGTGACATATCTCTTTTATGTGGGGTATCTCCAGGGGGCCGAAAAATGTGTAAGAAAAAGGACGAACGAAAAGCAGAGCATGCAATATTCATGTAGGAATAGTTAAGGTATAACCATTTAGTCTATTTGTCTGTTACTGAAGTACTTAATAGGCAAGAGCATACTAATGTGTTAAAGAAAAACAAGTGTGAACTAGGTATGAATGGATAACGAACTGTATAAACGAAGGTAGTTCAGAAAGGAGTATGGAATTATGTGTAATTATAATATAAAGTGCTGTAAACAGTATTTCGATACAAATGGTTGTCTCCTTTTTTTCGAAGGTATTTGAAATCTCTTTTTTGTTTTTAGATTTTATAGGGTATGGAGTGGGCTTCGTTTTTAGGCAATTGTATAGCTTGCTTGTAATAGGATTACTCGGTAGGAAGCGGTATCAATTTAGCGTTCTAAACACGATTTAAATAGGTATTTTGCATGAATAAGTTCGCATCAATACTTTCGCTTGTCAAATTTTTTTCCTCAATTCGGGTCGCTTATTGAAGCTGTCAGTTTACAAGTAAAACTTCCGTGAACTTATATCCAACATACCAGTGTCCGATGGGTGCAACCTAGATTCTATTACTTGCTGGGTACCTGGCCTTGAGAATGGACAGGGAAATCAGTGGCTTCAGGCAAAATGCGGTATATCAGGGGGATCTACACTATTCTCTGAAAGGTCTGGGTGTATGCTTCAAAATGCTCAACAAAGGTTGAATTACACAATCTGAGTCTCTATGCTAGGATTTAAATAATTGAATAGAAGTCTAAGTCAAGCTCCTAGATACTCAGGCGCTCGATTAACAGCTATGAGGTAGTTTGGAATTTCTTTTCGGGCTTCTTCCATGTCTTTCATATCAAGTTAATTCAGAATCACTGTAGTTAGCCTAGATAGTGGCAATGAGATAAGATTTACTGAATTGGAGAGTTTTATAGTCTGGCTGGCGCGCACAGTGGTTAAGTTTAGTCTGTTTGAGATTTATTGCTACTGGTTTGTAGCATAATCGCGTTCAGCACCCGTATATATATATATATATATATATATATATATTTGTTATTCCATGGACCCAGTTTACTTTTAAAGAATATTATGAGCCTCCCTTATCTGAACCCGCACAGTTAATAAGTAACTCTCTGGCTGGCCATGGTTTATTTGTCTTTCCTTAGGCACCGGACTTTGTCTGCAAATACTATTGAAGATATGACCAGTATTCTAGTTTGACAACTATTAACCTGTAACACCTTCTATATTCGAATCGTTCCTGTTAGGATATTCACCGGAATATCCCAAAATTATCTCGAAAGTACAGTCGTATGTTTTCAGACTCTTCATATATTTTGCATGTTATTTTCTATTGGTCATTAATTACAGTTGTCCTAACTATGACTTTCACGTGTCGTTCTCCTATTGGTCAATTTTGAGTTGTCCTAATTATAACCTTTACGTGTCATTCCTTTCCATTGGTTACTGTTAATAGTCATCTTAACTGTATAAATATGCCTTGTCTGTAAACCATTTTTGTTCTGCTGCTGACCCAATAAACAATTCTCATTTAACGGCTGTGTTCTGATTTATTGGAGTTGGGGGACAGTATTGGGGTCGAACTAGCATATCTGAACTCGGTCAATCGATAGAATTTCGTGTAGTCCCATCGCAATAAGTAATATTTGGGCAATTTATAACAGTTCCCCACTGGGTTAAAATCAGAAGTCAGATGCCAATAGATAGGAAAGGTATATTTGATGCCGTTATCAATATATCGTGAAGCGGTTACTCTAATCTGGCAAGTGAAACGTAGGAGCTGTTTCTCACGCTGAGTCGTAATGCGATCTGGTGCGGATGCATGACCGAACGCCTTCAGTTAAACAAGTCCACTTAGAAGAGTGTGGTCAGCATCCAATGTCGAACACTTAGAGAGCTATTGATTTTGGGGAATTATTTACAGCTACACTATCTACTGTTTCAGGTATTGTCCTTGATGACTCTCTGAAGAAGAGACCTTGGGAGTCAGATGCCTAATCAACAGTTAAGCAGGCATAGAATCTATCAGTTTACATAGTTGATGCCATTGGAGTAGATCGTGACCATCTATTGTTGTCGAGAAAGTCAACCCTATACCTTGAAATTGAACACGATACGAGACATCAGATCTGCTTTAGGTCTGGATTGAGTTGTGGATAAGCAAACATCCTGCGATCTGTCTTGAACCTGCGTATTTGTTTCACTCACGTTTGGGTGTTGATGAATTCGGGGTTAGGTACCTGCTTCAGAGTTGAGTGAACACGCTGTGTAAGAGCCAGTTTATTATCGCAGGTAGCTTTTAGTGACTTTTAGTTCGGAATACAAGCCAGGGAAACAGCCAGACCTACTTCCAGGCAAGATATAATATAAATATCACTCAGGCGGGAAAGTTCATCTTCCTTTCGGCACTTTCCTGTCGGATTAAGATTTCTTCTATCAATGACCCTGTTTGTTGGCATTCGGTTATCATTCGTTATTTTGTGGAATTCAGACTCATTGCTAAAGAACAAATACTTTAAACGATAGCGTTTACACCTTGCCTTTTCTTCGGGATTTGCATGTTTGAGCCTTGGATATTAGAGTAAGTTTGTCAATTTTAAAGGAAAATGAGGTCTATATAGATGATCTGGACAGACCTCCTCCTAACTTGTGTCTCATTACATGGAGCTTGATCGAGCATCTATCTCGAGTTCTTCAACATCAGTGTGACTTCTTTTTGAGCGTGTCTTAGCATGTGCCTGTGTGGGTCGGGTACTAACTCTTATCTGAATGCTATATGACACCAATATTTTGTTTATTCTCGACTACCGATTTCCGTCTCATTCATTTACTTTTGCAAATCATGATTGGTACTTGACCTGGTACAAAGTTAGTGTCGATGTCCATTTAATATTGTGGTCCTTTCTTTCCATGAGGTTTTTATGCCCACTGGTCAGTAGCAATTTTGATTTACCTTAACTTATGACGGATTTTATAATTGTTCATTGTCTGTCTATCTCATTTGATTGTGTTGGTTGATGTCACTGATCGCTCTGTTAGGTTGAACTACGCTTCAGTTTGGTTATGAATAACTACTATTCATGACAGGGTGTTAGTCTTTACGATTCTTATTGTTCTGCTTATTTATTATTTCGTAGTTTTCACTATTCGTCCACGAGCGATTTGCGACCGTTTCCTTTGTTCGACATGAAAATCGCTATCTTCTGTCAAGTAACTAGCTTTGCAGTCACTAATATTCTTTGTTACTGACACTTTTATGGTTTGGTCGTGCCATATGACCATACAGTTCACTTTCCAAAACTATTCAGATATATCTGTAATTTGTATCGTTGTGTTTGCTCCACATGAAAATGACGCCAGGTATTTTAGTGAACTTACTATACTATGACTTTATTCATCTGAATGTGTCACCAACCAGACGTTTGGGTAGAATAGATTTACGTCCCAAATATTGGAGATTTCCAGACCGTACAGCGATTCCACATAAAAGGGGCTAACCATAATGATTTTTCCTTAAATAACAATATGCCACACAAGGTATACCACTTTGCAGGAGAGATCGGATTATTACAAGTGTCACAGTATTTACTGTAGTAGGTTGTTCAGTCAGGTCGATAATTCATAAGACCCAGTGGTCATGGAAACAGGGAAACAAATTTTCGTGCGGTAGAATATGTATGTTAGTAATACTTCGATATTCAATATAAGAGTTGGCGCCCTTTATGGTGATTGCGTTGCGACAGGCTACTCGTGGTTGGGAATTAGTGTAAGTAAATCCCAGAGCTGTGCACAACAAGATGTAATGCGGCAATCACATAACCATTCATTTGAAAACGTCAAATTTAAAATATCACCTTGTGCTTCTTGACAGTGTTTCCGGATGAATATGGAAGAATGTGAAAGAAAGAGTGGTTAGGGTTGTCAAATTTTTAAGGCGATAAATAAGGAAAGGAAACAATTAGATACTAGTAGATTTAGAATATTAAATTTTTTATGCTGATAGGAGCTGAAACTAGAAGGAAATCACAATAATTTAGGATAGTCTGAACTGATTATGTTCTAACGTAGTTGAGCAGCATCCATAGGTCTTATATGTTATCTGTCTACTTGTAATAGAAACTGAAAAGGGACATGGGGACTTTGTAGAATTGTCTAGTTTGTTATTAGTATTGCTATAATGATGGATTCAATTCCAAAAGTATAGTTTTGTCATGATATGAAAACCTAATCTATAAGATCTTATGTGAAGGTCACAACATTGTCTATTCTGATTCGTATTGTAACAATCAGCGTTATAATTTATAATGTTTCTAAAAACATCCAGGTTGAAGATAGAATAATATGTTTAAAATGAATAAAAGAGGTAAGTTACGAAAGAATGACCACGCACGCAAGGCTGAGCCATGCCATCAGATTCACTGAACGAATTGTTCACACCTCCCTTGTTGGCTTTCTCTCATGGAAAAAGTTATATGGCCCTAAACATTAGTAAAACATTGAGTCTGAATTTGAGGGGTAGGAGCATTAGGGGATGATTAGTAGTGAATAATGAGAGGAGGGTAACCATATGTTTTATCATCTGTTTATGGATATATGAATGAAAACATGAGTCCATTATATTCACAGTCGGTCTAAACATTAGGCGGTCTATAAAAAAGTGCCTCAGGGTTGATTGTGAGTTATGGGAATAGTCGATGAAGCTCATTAGAAACTAATAACAGGTGTATTAGTCTTTAGAACTCGGCCATAGTATCACAGGTACAGATATATATTTTTTATTATTTAAACACATAAATATTGGTACAAGGAAGCACCAGATACATATGCGCCATACAATTCTCATTCGATTTGCTTGAGGGCTGTGATACTGCCCAGGTGCCCAAACTGAAGCAGGTGGTTTTCTTAGGGGCCCACACCCGGAGCCTTTAACCGAAAGATCTGATCCACAAGGCAGTGGAGCATCGTGAGGAGATGCATTCCCATGGTAGTTGGTGACCAACGATTGGTTCGTACGCCTTTTGTTCCCTCAGGATACTGGAGCCAGCCCATGTGCACCATTAGTTTGGAATCAGGGTTTTCCAACTCCCCTAGGTGAACTTTCCGTGTCCACCCACCCGGTTAAAGCACCTGCTGGACATTCGCATTTCGTCCTCTCAATTTCGTAAACAACAGTAATGCCACAAGAAGGCAGTGAGTAGGACTTCCCTGACAGAGGCTATATATTCGCGTGGCCATGTGAGAGCATTTTGAGAGGGAGAGCGGACTCTTTACACTTTCGGCCATACCAGGGCATTTGGGGGCCTGTTGCACAATAAACTATACCACACTTCAAAAATTTTAAGAGGGTTTCTTTTCCGGTGTTTGAAAGTTAGTAGTGTATATCCATTGCTACTGAGTCTGTAGGACAAGATATTTTGTAGAAAAATATTGGATTGTTCCTTAACCAGCGACGCTACAAAGGTTCTAAGGAGTGGTCGAAGATGAAGTAAGATCTTATCAGTACCTGTCAAGCCTCTTCAGACATCTACTCGTATCTCGTTTGAGAATATAAATAAGGAGTATTCAAGGAAGAGTCGTATACATATTCTGGAAAGTTTAAACTTAGTCTCCACTGTGAATTGAAGTCTTTTTTGAGAAGGGTAAGCTATACTTAAATGACCATAAAAGTGAACCAAGAAGAGATCAAACTATTTGGCTTGGAAGGCGTACTTCATTCAGTCAGCAATAATTACAACGCTCAAAGTTAAAGAAATTATTAGGATGATAACTAGCTTTCTATGTTTCTATATATCTTGGAATTATCAGAGTAATGATTTCAGTAATGTAAAACATGGATCTAGTAGAACCTGAAGGCCAAGATAACGGAACTACCAAAGTTCCAGACCCTCTAAGTGAGTATACTACTTCTAAATCATCAACGTTGATGATCTGTGTCTAATGATTGGGGGCCTACTAGAGTTAGACGGAAAGGGTGTGACCAACAACTAACTTCTAAGTAACATTGGATGGATAGCTTAAACTTCAGTCAAATGTTGGCTCTCTTGTGACGACTGTTTTTTATTACGACAGTCTGACATAATTCTTGCTTCATTAACTAGCATTTCGTAGCTAAAATATTTAATACCAAGCAACCATATTATCGCAAAAACGTAAACAAGAGTTAACATTATGTTAATTGGGTTCTGAAAAGGAATCCAGTAATCTAATTTGGGTCAACATCCATGAAGTCACTGACAAGTGAACTGAGTCATGTTGATAGGTGTAGACTACCTGGTTGGGATTCGCGAGATGATAACAACCGATGGTTAGCGACCTTGAGTGACATGGCTCAAAATCGTTTGCCATGGCGAAGGTGCACCCACTCTTTGTGTTCTGCCAAATTCTAATCTTCTGAATTCTTCATGTCCCTATATTTTTTCTCTTAAAATTTATTTCACTGGATTATACTCATTGAATAACATTTTCAAACACTAATCTTTCGGATTACTGCTTATACTCTTAGTACCTCTACCACTATGGGATTTGAATCGACAATTGTATCTCTGTGCTAATGTGGTATGGCAACTCGAACTGATGTATGTACGTACGAAGATCAGTCTGACTGAATTTGGGTCAACGTATTCATCAGAGTAAAGTTTTCGAAGAGTTTAAATGTACTAAACAGCATTCTGTTGAATCGATTTCAATGTTAAAATATCATTGTACGTTTAAAAATACATGAGCTTTTAATTTGTTCATATAATAATCATAATCAAATTTCTCTTTAATTAAATTCACTATAGAGTTATCAGAATACAGTGATCTCTGTGTATGGCTCAAAGTTTACATTTATAATATTCAAGAAGTCTATTTAAAGTAAACGTGTTATTTATCTTGGTATCATGACTAATAAAGTAGGTTTTTCAATTACTAAGAGCTAAAGTGTTCTTCTTACTAGTCCAATGAACTATTACCATTCGATTCTCGTCAAATAATATGTGAACTAAAAGAATATAATATTCAATTGAAATTATTATTTTTACGATTAAATGGTTGTCTATTCATTTGGTTAGGTAATGAAGAAAGCAAATTGTCTGGTAATTATCAATTCTCTTCACTAATATATCAATCATAATTCTTTATAGGTTTATCTGTATGTTTACCTTCACAAATATCCACATCTGATCAACATAGTGCTACAATCTATTCAGTAACTGGTGCTTCACGAAATCCATTTAGTGAATATGAAGAAAATTTATCATGTAAAATTTCTAAACGTTTTCATTGTCCTATATTTGTTAGTATTAGTTTACCGTATGAATTTGCTTCTTTATGGAATACTGTCAATGTAATCACACAAAGTACACTTAGTCAAAAAGTAGAACATTGTATATTTGAAAATCTTTCTACTATTATACTTTCATGATAATTTTTATGTTTTATGGTCATATATAACTATAACGAGTCATATATATTTATGTATATTCATTTGTATTTACTGTTCATATGTTGCATTTTGAATTATATACTCTTATATGATGATAATATGAGAATGGCACTGTTTAGCTGTTCAGTTGGTCACAGGTTTGAGACCTACCGTGCTTTGATTTTGAGCATCAGTCAGATATTAGAAATGTAGAAACTGGAACATAACTACATCGGCTCCTACCTTTACCTTTAGCCCCCAAATGCCCTGGTATGGCCGAAAGTGTAAAGAGTCCGCTCTCCCTCTCCAAATGCTCTCACATGGCCACGCGAATATATAGCCTCTGCCATAGAAGTCCTACTCACTGCCTTCTCGTGGCGGGGGTGTTGTTTACGAAATATCTGATGCTTCCTTGTACCAATATTTGTGTGTTTAAATAATAATAATAATAATAATAATAATAATAATAATAATAATAATAAATACCTTCACATCATATCGCTTCACAGTGGGGTGTAATTGTCACATCGAATACCATATTGGTAGTAAAAAGTGACTACTCATAGAAATATGATTTTCGAGTAAAGAGTTAATTTGTGGAAAGAAAGGTATGAAGTACTTTCAAAATTGTAGACTTACGGTTAGATAGAGAATGAGTTGATGTACGAAATTCCGACTAGTGCTGAACTATGTCACTTAATCTATCCAACCATTCGTCATGTTAATCTCACAGACCTTAATCAGTTAATCTCCATCGACCAAGTTGCTTCATACCAACAGTTGGTGGCTCCGTAGACTGATTGCACGTTTTAGTCGGACCACTCCCACCTTTCTTTCAATCTACTACCCCAGATAACATTTTACGTCGAGGTAGCTGGTGATGAGGCATACGTGACACGTTCCAGCCGTCTCAGTCAATAAACGCTCACATTTTTATCAACCAGTTTCGTATCTTTGTCTAGTACCCTGGATATAACTTGAAGATCATTCACTCAGGTGTCCTAAAATATGCGAGTAATGTTCCGGAGGCATCTATACTCGAATACTTGTAGCCTACATATGTTCTCTACTTTTAAAGGGTAATTTTTATAGCAATAGACTGAAATAGTTAACTTCTGAACAATGTATTTACATCTTCATTAGCAAATGTACATCTTGCATATGCCTCAGGTGACACAAGCCGTCGACTAACGTGATTTTTCGAGTCTGTTCCAGGATCTTGTCGAAAATCAGTTCACTACAGCTGATCAGACTCTGAAGATAAGTGAAGTGATTGATACACTCAACTGCTCCGACCCGGGGATCAAATTACTATCTCTACCCCTCAGACACATGCAATAAATATGATTAAAAACAATTTATACGAAACCGATACTCAATAACTAGTTTACATTAGTTTATTTATTAAATATTTACAGACCGAGTAACCGAGCTCCGTTAAGTTCATGTCAAAGCAGAAATTCAGCCTTCAGTATACAACATAACTCTAGTTGTTTTTATTACATTTAGTTTTGACTGTCATACGTTCATTTTTATTGTTACAGAGTTTTAGGGTTTATTTAATTAGCTTAAGCAGAATTTCCGGGTTTGAGTAGTGTTATGAGTAGTTGCACGGAGTTCTGACACATGTAGACAAGTTAGGCATACACAACATTGGATACCGACCAAGCGGTTTAGTAGTTAGGTGTTCTTGAGCGACACCAAAGGTTTTGAGTTTGATCCCCGACTTTGGGGTCCTGAACATGCATTACTGAGTAGTTACATATCAGAACGAAACGGTCATTCAGTGCTTTCAGGTTCCCAATGTTGGTCTAACATTATTTTCATTGGTTGTTCAGTTGAAATTCCTATCATGTTTAGACAATTATCTATATATATAAGCTAAATGAATAAACTGTCTAACCTCATACATCTGTTATCTCTATAAATTCTTTATGATCGTTTTAAATACCAGAATTTTTTTTGTAGTTTGCTTTAACCTATGCAACATTAATACCTTAAGTTCCTTCTAATAATTTGAAAAAAAGACTTTCTTCCTTTCAAAAATCCAGTTAACGAGGTTAATAGTGAAGTTATCAGTTAATTAGTTTCCAAGCAATTATCAATTTTCAAATGAGAATAGAATATTTCAAACTGATTTGAAATATAACTAGAAACAAAGTTGATTTTTTTAATACTTAAAAAGTACATATATCTAATAGGGTTTTATTGTGATAGTGGACTAGATTTGATATTTGGATGTTATGAAAAAATATTTCATACATACTCTGGTACGGCCGAGAGGCGGGGGAGTCGGCTCTCCCTCTCAAAATGCTCTCACATGGTCACGCGTATATAGCCACTACCAGGGAAGTCCTACTCACTGCCTTCTCGTGGCATTATTGTTGTTTACGAAATTGAGGGGACGAAGTGCGAATGTTCGGTGGAGGCTTTAACTGAGTTGGTGGATATAAAAGATCCACACAGGGGGAGTTGGAAAACCGTCATTCCAAACCAATGGTGTACATGGGCTCCAGAATCCTGAAGGAACAAAAGGTGTATGAACCAATTATTGGTCACTAGCTACCATGAACTGGATATCCTAATGTTGCTCCACTGCATTGTGGATCAGACCTTTAGTTCGAATGCTCTGAGTGTGGCCCCCTAAGAAAACCACTTGTTTCGGTTTGGACTCCTGGGCAGTATCACAGCCCTCACACAAATCCAATGAAATTTGTGAGGCGCATATGTATCTGATGCTTCCTTGTACCAATATTTGTGTTTAAATAAATAAATAGTAATTCATGTTTTAAGTAGTATGTTATGAGGATAGATTCTTGAGAATTGGGTACTCAGTAAAAGTTTATATTTGAACATAGTGATTAGTCCATTTTTAACCAGTTATGTCTAACAGGAGAATCGAGAAGATACTAGAGATTTTTCATGTAAATTTTACACAACCTCTTGTGTTTCTACCAAGATACCTCCAATTACTAGGCTGAACGATTTCGAACTCATATTTGGGGTATACAGGATAACTGTAATCTATAGTTGATGATCCTAGACGGTATATAGCTCAAAAGTTGGTCTGATTGATGCATATATATTCATTCTCCGTCTTCTACGTTATTTCATATTTCTTTAGATTTCACTTATTCCTTTTTAAATAAATTTTGTATTTCAACCATAAAATTACTAAAATCTCCACAAAACCCACTTCTGATAATAATCATATGCTCATTAGTGACTGGTTCCAAGAGGTATTTCCTGGAGTTCTAGTGAGAAGTAGTAACCAGTGGAGTTCGACCGGGTCTGTTGTGAGATAGTGACTCACTGGAGACGATGGTGGATGGTTGCTGAATTTCGTCGATCGGCTGAAGTTAGACATTAACACCATTGGATGCCGATCAGCTCAGTGGTCTATAGGTTAAGCGTTCGTGCGTGAGACTGACAGGTCTTGGTTTCGAATCTCGTAAGGCGGGGTCGTGGATGCGCACCACTGAGGAGTCCCACAATAAGACGAAACGGCCGTTCAATCCTTCCAGGTTTTCCATAATGGTCTAGCTTTAATTGACTCATGATTTCAACTATAAAATTCTGTATTGTTGGGAATCCTGGATTCCACTGTTAACCGTTGTCCAAATCTACATAAAGGTGTTTGTGGCTTAAAAATAATCCGTTCAGAATTCACATTTGCTAAAAGGAACTAAATAGTCATAATCTTGAACATCAACAGCGGGGACATTGAAATTCTTACAACTAAATTATATTCTACCTATCGAATGGTTTACTGTCATTGGGTTCAAGATGTCGGATGATGTGTCAGAGAATCAGTTACAATAGTATGGTTGCATTCACTCTTTGTCTTCCATTAGATACAGGGTTTCACAATTATCTTGGAATTAATTTACGGGATAAAAATGTATTTCTTTTGAAGTTCTACTATTTAAACCTAATCTGTTCTACTATCTCTGATAGTACTATAGTTACTTCTACTATTCTGATATTTGTCTTGGTAGTTTTATCTTACTGTGGTAATACGGTATGGCAACCTGAGTCGTTCCATATTTGTACCAGACTGTATATTGACTATGATTGACAGCAATAACGAACTATATTTTTTCTAGGTTGTACGCAACTTTAAGAGAATTTACAAAGTATAGTTAGTTCATATACAAATACACCAAATTTGTGCCGGCATCCCTGTTTTTTATTAATAACTAACTAAATGAATCTATGGTATACTATAATTTAAGAGGATACTCTTTCGTATAGTTCCATTTAACTCTACCCGTAGCTTTTCTAAGGCTACTGCCAATCTGAAACCCAGGTAAAGAAGGGGGGTTGCGCATGGGGTCAGCATTTGCATCCCGTAGAAAACAACCTTACTAAAAAAACGCTAACCTGAGTCCCATCTCATCAGTTATGATTACTCATTCTCCTATATTTTATCTGAAAGAAAAATTTCTCTGATGTTTACAAAGTTAAACAAAATACCAAACTACTGAATAATGCGTTATAGTAATCTGAATTAATATCAAATTTACGATAGGTCATACATATCCCTAACTCCGCCTGTAGCCCCTTCGGGGGCTACTGCCGGTCAGAAGGCCGGATAAAGGAGGAGGGTTGGGCATGAGGTTAGCGACCGTATCCCGTAGAAAACCAACTCGCTAAAAAACACTAACCATACATTTTCCTAACTGCTTACTACCTTAATGCACAATACCGACTGATATAAATGTAGATTGTAGGAAAGTTAACGCTAGTTAAACCAAGATAAGTTATTAATTCATAAATTTGTTGAGTTTTACCCGTAAGCCATATTTATCGGCACGACTACCTGATTAAAGGCTTAGATGATAATCATGGCCAACCAGTTAAAGATATTAAGTGTTGTTCCGAAGGTTACCTCCTTAATGGATATTTAGCTTGAGAATACCTAACCTGATATTTGATCCTATCTTATTATTTTATCACTATTGAGATTCTCACCTCGTTTACAATGATTTTCAGTAAATGTATACTTTAGGGATGAGCTAATCAGAATCGAGAATGCAGCTTTTAGATTCATACACGAAGTTCAAATTTATTTCATTGGATTATACTCCTTCAATAACATCTTCAAACCCTAAGCTTTCACATTAATGCTTATACTCTTACTACTTTTACCACTATGGGATTTGAATCGACAACTGCACTTCTGTGCTCATGTGGTATGGCAACTCGAACTGATGTATTGTACGTACGAAGTTCTATGTTGTGACTGACTAGTGGAAAATTCATTATTTGCTACTATCGAGTAAAAGTGATAGTGTTAAATGTATCAAATGTTTAATAATGTCTTTTTAGACTGTATATTACAGGCTAGTCGACACTATTTTTAGGTCCTGATT